AAGTCACAGGGCTCCTGGCACCCTATCTCCTGTCCCGCCCCACTCTCGGCCAGGCCCACCCTCCCTACAGTGATTGTCTGGTCCCTTCCAACAGCCCAGCACAATGGCTTCTTCAGAGGCCAAGGATGGCCACTACTCAGACTCCTCTGCTGCGGTGCCCATCAAGCTGGACGTGGGGATGGGGAGAGTCTGCTGTAGCCTAATCTTCCCCTGAACTTGCCACATGCTTTTGACTAATCGCGATAACAGCAGCAGTGAGTGTGATAGTATACAAGCATCAAGCCTCATCGCCTCACGGGACCACATGCTCCATGCTCCCCACAACAATCCTGGCTCTGCTGACTTTCCCATCCCACAGAAAAGGTAACTGAGGCACAATGCAGACAGCTCACCAAAACAAAACAGAGATTTGAACCCGGAGCTGGCCTCCACAGTAAGGGTCCCATTTGTACACTGATTGTCTCCAATGGGTAGGGAACATGGCCCTTGGTGAGGAAAGTCCCAAGGAGCACCACTCAGCCTGCCTGTCACCCTATCCAGTCCCCACTGCAGAGTCTGCCTGCTCAGGGAAGACTGAGGCCCCAGACTTTGCAGCAAAGCAAATCAGCAGGTCACCCTGCTTTACCCAGGCCCTGCTGGACTCTGCCTCACAGCAGTTCAGGATCTTAACTCCCCCGAAATACAGCAGGAAAGTAGCTGGAGCCTGGGTTCCTGACACTCCACTGGCCAGAAACAGCCTTCGAGGTAAGGTAATGAGGCCGGGCAGTAGGTAAAATGTCTTGTTTGGTGAGTGAGTATTTCACATGCTGTAAAGAGGACACCTCTTCCACACTTCCCTCGTATGCATACATAAATGCATGTGCTAAAAATTGGAGTAACAGATGCAACCTGCAGAGGTGTTCCACTCTCATTTTAGTACTTGAGATTCCCACGGAGATCCAGCTTGTCCCTTCTGGGTCCATTTCCATGTGGGATGCTGCTGCCCCCTGGTGGTGAAGCCCTCCTCCTGCGCATTCTCACAGCACTCCTGAGTTCTTCCATTATCGTTCAAACTCCTCTTCCCAGTCTTTCCCTCCTAGATTACCTCATTACAGAGGAGGCAAGCACCCACAGGCTCCCTCAGCGAATGCAGAAATCACATGGCTTCTTATTCTTTGTGTGTATAATGTGTATCACGGGTGTGTGTTCCTGTGAGTACAGGACCACAGAGGCCATGATGCACTCATGGAGGTCAGAAGACAATCTCAGGTGCTGGTCCTTGCCTTCTACCTTGAGACGGGGGTCTCTTGTTCACTGTGTACACCAGTCCAGCTGGCCCACAGACTTCCAGGGGTCCCACCAAGCCCTGGCACTACAGGTGTGCACTGCATGTCTAGCTTTATGGGGGCTCAGGGGATCTGAACTCAGGTCTCACATTTGCAAAATAAGTGCTCTGTCCACCAAGCCGCCTCCCCAGGCTCTGCCTGGCTTTTTATTTAGTATTTATTTTGTCATGTGGCTTACTGAGCATTTTATTTTTCTAGGATGGCTTTAATGAATATAGGCAGACCATAGAGGAAGGTTTTGATTTGCCTTTCCAAAGTCCCTACTCTCAGTGACTGGAAAGCATAAGAGAGAAATAAGTAAAACCCGAGTAGACATCAGGTAGTGGTGGCGCACGCCTTTAATCCCAGCACTCAGGAGGCAGAGGCAGGCGGAACTCACAAGAACTCTCTGTGAGTCAAGGACAACCTGGTCTACAGAGTGAGTTCCAAGAAAGCCAAGGCTGTTACACAGAGAAACCCTGTCTCAAGAAACAAACAAACAAACAAAAAGATCCAAGTGGACCCTGAGCCCCTACAGGGTGAGCCTGCCCATTCTCCCTACTGACACTCAAGGGAATGGCGGTCCTCGGCTAAGGGTTTGGGTGAACCACAGCCTCAAATCTGCCCCCGAGGGCCTGGCATGGGACCTGACCACACACTCGCTCCCATTGTTCCTGTTGGACCCTGAGGGCTGCAGCTAGAAAGGAGGAGATGAGAAATGCAAAGAATGGCTTTGTATCCCGAGAGTGCAGCTCCCACTGGGCAAAGCTCCCCGTGCATGTGACGCAGTTGGGGAGACTCTTTCCTCTGAGCGGCTTTAGTCTACTTCCCCAAGAATTACTGTCTATCCCGGGGGAGGGATGGGGCCGAGGTTTAGTTCAAAAGTTATTGGCTGGAAAGTTGGGAAGAAGCCAAGTTCATAATGTCAAGGAAATTGCAGGAGGCCGGATGTGGAAGGTCTGAGTCGGCCAATCCTGTGCCAGCACCGCCTCACCCCACTCCTCAGACAAACGCAGGACAGTGGTTCTCAGCCTCCCGGAAGCACAAGTCACCCTTCAGGCACCTGGAAAGTCACAGCATTGAGCCCGACCCAAAGCCCGGGTCAGTCACAGGCCTACGGTAGGGCCTGAGGGCCCACATCTCAGTCCTGATGGTGCTGATGCTGCAGACCGGGGACCACACGCGGGGTCAGCGGCCTCACTAACCACTGTCTTTTACACAGTATCTAAGACACAATCTCAAATTCCGATCTACAATCACCTCACGGCCCAAGAACAATACGAAGGAATCAGTCTGAAGTATGAGGAACCATAGAGCACGCCTGCCCCGGCCGGAGTGCCTGAGACACCAGATGTCTGCTGGGCAAAGGCCTCCACCGACAAGTCTAGAATGCTGCTGTTTCTGTAACACAAACGCAGACTTCTGCATGAATATGTGACGCTGGAATTTTTAAGATGAAATAAGTCGTTCCTGAGAGCCTTCCTTTTCCCTCACCAGGCATCTTTCACATTGTCACAGAAACAGCAATACTTCTGGTCCTGTGCTCTAAACCATGCTACCAGACATGTGCATGTATGTGTGTGCATGCATGTGTGTGTCATATGTGAGTGTATGAATGTGTGTGCTGTATATGAGTACATGCATATGTGTGCTGTATGTGAGTGCATGCATGTGTGTGCTGTATGTGAGTGCATGCATGTGTGCTGTATGTGAGTGCATGCATGTGTGTGCTGTATATGAGTGCATACATGTGTGTACTGTATGTGAGTGTGTGCATGTGTGAGCTATATGAGTGCATGCAATGCTTTATGTATGTGTGTGTGCTGTATGTGTGCATGCACAGGTATGCTACACATATATGTATACACATGTGTTATATGTGGGTATAGGCATTCATTGTATGTGTAAACATGTGCATCCATGTGTTGTGTATACATCTGTGTGTACATGGATGTGCTGTGTATGCCTGTGTGTTGTACATGTGTTACATGCATGTTTTGTGTATACATGTATGTTTATATCTGTCTATACATATTTTCTTCTTCAAGATGGCTCTGCTTTAGTGGAGGCAATGTCCCTTGGGAACCATTGTTTTAGGTTTAACACATGGGTTAAACTCCCTTAAGTATGTCCCAGGAGGTTAGCTGGGGGTGGGGAAGATGTCTACACAGAAGGACAAAGATGGCTTGACCGACTTCTAGGACGAGCTGCTGTGCAGAGAAGGAGCCTGCAGAGTGAGAACGCCCATCGCCTGTGAACATCCTTCAGCTCCATTTGATTTCTCACCTTGGCCTCCAGAACAACGGAAGGCACATAGGCCACCTCACGAGCAGTCGGTGAGCAAGAGGCTGAACTACGAGCAGGGAAGGCAGGCCTCCCGCTCTTCCCACTTCTTCACATGAAACATCAGAGTCCAGCTTCCTCCTCCCCTGCCTTCCCTGTCATCCAAACCTCACAGCAGCCAGGAATGGACCGAGTGGCCACCACCCCTGCACATCAGCCCCCCTTAGCCCTGGATGAACTCAGAGGCCCAGGCAAGTGTCTGCTCAGATCTACAGCAAGTGGGGAGACGGCATGGGTGAGCACAGCCAACACCCCAAGTCTTAGCCCTCCGTGGGGCTTCTTACTGACACAAAGCAGCCTTCTTCACACTCGCAGTGATAAAATCAAAACACTGATCAGCTCTGTAAGCACTGAAGGTGCCCCATGTCTTGTCAAATGCTCGGCCACGGCTTCACTCTTTGTGTGAATTAAATAATCCATCTCATTAGTATGCGAATTTGCTTTAGTCATTAATAAATGGTGAAAACTGCATGTATACCAAATAACTGTTTAAAATAAATGTCTTTAAGATTTGTTAGCAATAAAAGCTTGATATGTCTATTTTATGTCTATACACCCAGGTTCGAGTAAAAATTCCTCTGGCAAGATAGGCTTGCAGAAGTGTCTTTGGGGCCATTACAGAAGTTGTTATAAAATTCATTTACTGATTTGCTAGGAAATTCTAGTCATCAAATCAAACAGCAACTTTTAAAATCGAACCCTGGGTCTGTGAGTTGGCTCAGTGGGAGGAGGGGCTAGCACACGGCTTCACACACTAAGTTCAACACCCGGATCCTCAAGGTGACAGTAGAGAACAGAGTTCCTACAGATGCCCTCTGACTTCCACACACATGCTAGCATGTGTGTGCCTGCACACACACAGAGAGAGAGAGAGAGAGAGAGAGAGAGAGAGAGAGAGAGAGAGAGAGACAGACACACACAAATAATAAAAATTTAAAGTCAAACATTCTAACGAAATCCAATCTAAAGACACTAACTAACCCAGTACTCACATCCCGAGGAATGATGCACAAAGATATTCAAGTCTTTGTTTTCCATGATCAAACCATTCTGTTCCTTAAAAACCTGCAACTCAGAATACAGGATAGCCTGGAATCTGAGCGAGGTCTTCCAGGCGGTATGGCGTAGGAGGATGTCACATCTAAAATGGCCCTAAACACACTTCTGCCATTTCCTACCCCACATTCACGATAATGCACAAGGGTAACCCCTGCCAGAAACACCACCAATTCGTTACCCATTAGACTGAATTATTTTGGGTTGTACATTCAGAAGTCTTTTACTATTCCCAAACTGTTTGTGAACTCCACACTCAGTATGCAGCCCCACTTGGGGTCCCCCAGAGGACTCTACCTGTCTGAAGAACTCCGGGAAGTTGAGGATGGGCCCGTTGTGGAAGACAGGGTAATAGAAGACATAGGCCAGCAACCACGGGAAGGAATAGGGGGCGCGCTGGGCAGGCGGAGGCTGCCGGCAGAGCTCCAGGCTGAAGCTAGTGTAGAACAGGCAGCGCACGGTCAGCGTGAACTGTAGCAGGTAGTATTCGTTTTCTGTCTGGTACCACCTCCTCTGCAAAAGCAACAAGCAGAGACAGCCTGTGAGTGAGCGGCAAGGAGGCATCAGCCCGACACAGGAGCTGCCTGGGGAACCCGGACCATGGCTTCTTCCCCCAGGAGAGAGGCAATGGGAGAAAGCAGTGTCAAGGAAATCCCACGGGCAACCAAAGCAAGCAGCGTGAGCTGCCGCGTGGCTGGGCGGTAGAGCACATGCCTTGCACATCTGGGACCCTAGGTCCAACCCTTGGCACCAAAAGAAACACTTCATGGCAGTATATACAAGATTCCGAACCAGGGACGGGGCAGGCTGTACACAGAATTAACCACTCAACAGCCATACAGACTGCCTCTTGCCCAATGTCCACTTCCACCAAACACACAACCGACAAACAATGTGTCTGTCAAGATGCCATCCCATGGCACATCAAGGCTTGGTCTGTGACCTTGAGGCAAAACACCCAGTTTTCACTTTCTGTACAAAGTGCTTCTGTGACTAGCTATATGAATGGATAATTAATAAGCTATGCTATCCACTAAGAATAAAGACATCTGTCTGAATGTCTTGGCAGGTTTAAGCATAAAGAGAAGGGAGGGCTCTGTTTCTATCCCTCTGGTCGCATAACATTAACATCCAAACTGGGAGAAATGGTAACCCTGGATAACCTCACAGGCTCAGACATAAAACCAAGACTGATGAACGCAGATGAGATGGTGCAATAACCCTAGATGGCCACTAGGCGGAGCCCCATGAGAGGCTACTGTTATTCTGAGAGTGGAGAGACATCTACTGGATCAGAAGCTTTCCCGTGCACTCCTCCCCGCCTCCCCCCCCCTCCGCCCCCGTGGTAAGGTATGCAGGAGGGGGGCACTTACCTTAACTTCCTCCACACTGTGCAGCCTCAGGGTGGAGAGCAGGAGGAGAGAACACAGCCAGGATAGGAGCATTGACCGGAACTGGGCCACACAGAAGGCGATGGTGGTGTGGAGAAAGACCATGGCCACGCCGGGAGCCCCCAGAACACACCAGCAGGCCCACATTCCATAGACCATGACGATCCAGGGTCTGTGCTGTAGAAGGATGGTCAAAAGAGAAGGACAGGAGGCGAGTTAGTGAGTGTGGCTAGGAAGGCACCTGTGAGGATGAGGGCAAGCTTTTGTGACCGGTCATCTGCCAGGTCCACCAGGAATCAAATAGTCTCCCACAGCTCCTGCCTTCAGAGCCTCCTGGACTGGATCCCACAACAGTGAGATGCTCAGCTGACTCTGAACAGACACACAGGAGGGAACCGCCAGCTGGGAAGGCCACATTCCCACACCCTGCACCCTGCAGACAACGTCCTCCAAAAGCCAGAATGAGAATGAGGGTCACAGACACTTCTGGGGAGCCTCAGCAGAACGTGGACATCTGCACCACAGCTTTCTGATGTCTTAGACTTAAAATCAAATACCTAATTACATCTTTCTGGAGTGTCCAACCGGTGCACGTTCTACTGAGGACACCTATGGATGCAACCCAAGACAAAAACTGTGAACTCGCTTGAGGGCCATGAGGCTTTTTTTTTTTTTTAATTTCTTTTCATAACTCAATTGTGCAGTCCTTGAGTGTGAACTTTTTAGATGACAGTGTGACCCAGATGAAGCTAAAAAGTTGGACACCATTAACATACTATTTACAGTCAAATTTATGTCACAGAAAAATCTCATCTTCTCAGCTTTCTGTGATGTCAAGATCTCTAACTGACTGACACGTTAGTCCCATTTCAAGAGGATTCTAATCCTATTCTGTTTAATTAACAAGTAACTGCTGTGAAATGTTCTGTATGGCAAATGTGTTGCTCTGATTGGTCAATAAATAAAATACTGATTAGCCAGTGGCTAGGCAGGAAGTATAGGCGGGACTAACAGAGAGGAGAAAAGAAGGAACAGGAAGGCGGAAGGAGTCACTGCCAGCCACCGCCATGACAAGCAGCATGTGAAGATGCCGGTAAGCCACAAGCCACGCGGCAAGGTATAGATTTATGGAAATGGATTAATTTAAGCTATAAGAACAGTTAGCAAGAAGCCTGCCACAGCCATACAGTTTGTAAACAATGTAAGTCTCTGTGTTTACTTGGTTGGGTCTGAGCGGCTGTGGGACTGGCGGGAGACAAAGATTTGTCCTGACTGTGGGCCAGGTAGGAAAACTCTAGCTACAAGTAACTCAGTTGTTCCCCTGATTAACCAAACAGTGGTTAACACATCTTTGCTGCCGTGATGCCTCTTCCTGTGTCCAGATGCTAAATCCTCATTTTACAGCTGCAACAGGTCTGGGGAGACGGCTCCGTGGGCAGAGCACTTGCTGTGCGCACACAGGACCCGAGTTCAGACCCAGTGCCTACGCAGAGCCATCATGCTAGCATGCATCTGCAGCCCCAGCATCCTATGGGGAGGCGAGAGGCAGAGGCAGGGGAATCCCTAGAACCTGAAGCACCCAGCAGTGAACAAAAGACCTGCCCCAGGTGGGACCCAAGGTCCAATGCTGCGGGTTGTCCTCTAATTTCTACACAGCCCTAGTGGCACAATGGTGCCTGCACTCATACACACAGCCATACATCATACACACACACACACACACACACACACACACACACACACACACAAAGATAAATAATTTTTTAAACCGCAATAGAGGGCCAGCAAGTTGGCTCAATGGGTAAAACCGCTTGTCACCAATGTTCCGAGTCCTGTGATGTGAGTTTAATCCCCATGTGCAGGTGGAAAGGAAGAACCATTTCTAAAGTTGTCCACAGACCACACACACAGCATAAACACACACAACAAAAAAGACTGCAATGAAGAGATGAGCGTGTGTCTGGGTAGGAGAGTGCTCACCTGGCATGTGCCAGGCCTTTGGTGTGATCCCTAGCTTTACCAAAAATAAAGAAAAGAAAAAAGCAGTAAGGTTTTTTTCATTTTATTTTATGTGTACAGTGTTTTGTCTGCATGTATATGTGTGCACTGTATGTAGAGCTCACCGGAGACGGTGGAGCTACAGAGGGTTGTGCGCTACCGTGAGGGTGGAGAACTGAACCTGGGTCCTCTTAACTGCTGAGCCTCCTCTCCAGCCCCCAGGTTTCAGTATGAAGGGGCAGTTTGTCAGCAGTGTCATGTCTGAAGCTTTGCGTCACCATGAACTACCTACATGATCTTCAGCAAGTTCCCTAAGCTCTCAGGCTCTCTCTGCACACAGAACTGGAGCAGTCACTATCTCACAAAGTCACCATGAGTGCAGTGGAATTGTGTGTGAACCACACTTAGTATGCACACGCAGAGTAAGGGCCCCTCCCGAGCTGTGTCCATAGTTCAGCTGACAGAGCGCTTGCCCAATGCACATGAGTTCAAGCCCCGGCACTTTACAAAATGAATACAGTGGCACATACCTGTAATTCTAGTACTCAGGGAGAGGCAAAGGGTAAGAAATTCAAGATTATCCTCAGCTATATAGTGAGACTGTAACTAGCCTGGACTATAGAGGGCACTGTCTCAAAAAAAAAAAAAAAAAAAAAAGAGGGAAGTAAGTATGGTGCATTTTGAATGATGGGTTTTCAGGGAATTTTCAGAACTGTAAAGTCAGATGAATGAACTTAGGCCTTCTGGTGGAAATGGGGAGCTGAGCCTGGCAGCCCAGGGCTGCCCTCCCAGCTCCTCAGGAGGCGGAGGCAGGAGAATCACAAATTGAAAACCTGCCTGGGCAACTCAGTAAGACCCTGTCTAAAAACAAAAAGTAGACACAGGACTGAGAGCATAGTTTAGCGGCCTAGGGATTACCGAACACACATGTGGTCAGAGGTTCAGTCCCCAGGATGGCCAGAGAGACAGACAGACAGAAAGACAGAGGAGACAGAGAGAACCGGATGCAGGGCAGGCCTGGAGTGTAGCTTGCCCATCTTGTCCCAAGTGTAACCCTTCCAAGCTGCCGCCCACACACTCCTCTTCTACAGACCTATATTCCAGCTCAAGAGAACGTCTGAAATGTGAGACTAAGTCAGCCACTTTTGCGTTCCAAGAAAACCAGTGAAATGTGAAGTTCATTTTTACGGTTTTTTCCATCCTGCTAACCACAGAAAACAGCCACATAAATTTGCTTCAAACTTTCCCCAACTCTCCCACCTCTGGGCAGAGTCCAATTTCCAGAAACGAGGTTGCCAAAGACTAATTTAGCACATGGTTTTAACAAGTGGCGGGGAAAGGTTCTTTTCAACACAACCTACAGCATGTGCTATGGAGACTGTGCAAGCATGTCTACACACGTATGCATACACAGTCACACTTTTAGTAAGTGCCATTTGATCTGCTTGGGAAAAACCTGTTTGCTGAGCTTCATTGGAAACTCACCACAGACAGAAGCTGCTCCAACTTGGAGCTGAAAGAGCCTTCAGAAATACCTAACCAGCCACGCTCCAGGGAGTCTATGATGGATTTGACAGAGCCCACAATGGCCATTTTGTGTGCAGACAAATGCTCCCCACACCCTCATGCGGGCAGACAACACTGGGTGCTGTCCTGAGACCGCATGGGAAACACTCTTCCACTGACCTCGGACTCCCCAACGTTTGCACTGCCGTCACCCTCACCACCACACACATCCTGAGGATGTGCAAACCAGAACACCACTAAAATGCTCATGCACAAAGTTAAAATGTTAAAACGACACTGGCATCCCCGCCCACCCCAAACAGTATTAAAACCCAGATACAGCATGGCCAGCCCTGAACTGACACCAGAGCAGGGAGGGGAACCCTCACTGCCATCACCACAGTCCCTGCCACACTCAGGCTGGAATCAGTGCTACAGAGAAGGGTCGGAGACACCAGGGTGCAGGTCCATAAGCAGAGGCCTAAGCAAGCCTCCCCCACCCACCTTCACGCCGATGTGCTTATGTAGGGTCCAAGCACTTGTCTACCTCCTAGATACATATGTATGGAACCAATCACATGAACCAGGACAGAACTGTTGTAACTTTTCAAAACTAAAAATTAAAAAAATAAAAAATAACATGCATCAATGCTTCTAACTTGTCATTAAATGGGCCAGAAAGTTCTTTCCTGAGTTCTCAGGGATCTGAACAGATACACGAAACTTTGGTCACATGCTCTATGTCAGTCTCAGGTTTCTTTAAAACGTCAATTTATTTTTCTTTTGTGCCCCTCCCCCATTGATCACTAATTGAGAAAATGCCTTCCAGACCTATGTACAGCCAGATCTTATGGAGACATTTCCTTCATTGAGGTTCCCTCCTCTCAGATGGCTTTAGCTTATGTCAAGTTGACGGAAAACCATCCAGCACACCCATCTAGAAGTCAAAGTAGCCCATCCATTTCATTCATCTGCCTACCCACCCATCCATTTACTCGGCCACCCATCCACCTACCTGCCCTATTTATCCTGGGGAGGGCTGGGCGGGTTAAGGAAGCTTGGGGAAGAGTTCGGATTCTTGTGCCTTCTTTTCTAGAGATCAGTAATCACCAATCACAGTTCTCACTTGAGTCTCATGAAATGGATGGATGGATGATGAGTGGGTGAATCAATGGATGGATGGATGGGTAGATAGATGGGTGGTAGAGAGGAGAATGGGTAGATGGGTAAACATCCCCAAGTCTTCAGGTTTAACTTGACAGAAGACAAAACCAGCATCAAAGTGTTGGGCTTTGATCCACTAATCCAAAAGTCTACCATCTTCCACACCTCAGATCCCACCTTACCCCTGAGAAAAGGCTTCCTTCTCCACCAGTGCAGACAAAGGCATCCCTTCACAGTTCATGACCCGCCACCCGCTTCCACTCACACCCACCAGTCCACAGCAGCCTGGTACCAGCCTCAGAGAGGATGCCTCTAACAGTAAGTACTGCCTGTCACCCCATCACACTGGGTATGGCGCTAACCCAGGACACTAACTAACCGTTAGTTAGACTTATGCCCACGCTAGAATTGGCACCAATGACAAAGTCAGAGCCCAGCCTTAGAAAACACTCTGGCAATGGCCCCTCTCATGCCACTCTGTGTTTGCTCCAAGTACCTGTGCTGCAAGT